CTACAACAGTAAATATGGAAATGACCTAAGCGTTGGCGTGACATCAACAAAAACAAGGACACCAAAAACAATAATGAAAAATATGAACAACAAAACAACAACGAAATGACAACAAACATTTCCCAATTCATCGAACAACAATATTTTGGAGGGTATCTTGTGTAATTTTTGAAGGGAATCTTGGGTAATTTTAACTGTAACTAAAATTTTAAAAAATCTACCTGCTGTCTTTGGATGCATATTCATGAACAACGTACCAATGAACTGATCCAACGGATAGTTTTAAAAAATATTCAATTTTATCTCGAAAAAGTATTTTTTTTTCATATGCGGAGAGTCCGATATTCATAAGAAAAGCGTCTACTCTATTAAGACCCTTTATCCATTTGTTTACCTTTAGAAACCATGTTCGTTGAAGAAATTTGAACATAAATACTAGTAGCTTTATTTTTTTTTCATTTTAGATGATTTGGATAGGGCAGTGCAGACATTGTTCTTGCTTCAAAAATTTTAATAGACGCCTTTTATATAGTAAAGCAAGGTCAAATGATTCTTTTTCTTGGATAATTTTTAAATGCCTTATCAACCATTTTTATGCTCAAATTTACGACTTTATTGTTGATCCTTTGCTTATCAAAAATTTATCCATCGTTTAATAGGGATATATTTAATAAATGTCTAAGGTGTGTGAGGTCAGTGTGTGAGTAGTGTCCTCTGTGTGTCAGGTCAGTGTGTGAGTGTGTGAGTAGTGTTTTCTGTGTGTCAGGTCAGTGTGTAAGTAGTGTCCTCCCCTGTGTGTCAGGTCAGTGTGTTAGTAGTGTCCTCCTTGTGTCATGTCAGTGTGTGAGAAGTGTCCTCTGTGTGTCAGGTCAGTGTGTTTGTAGTGTCCTCTGTGTTTTAGGTCAGTGTGTGTGTAAGTAGTGTTCTCTGTGTGTCAGGTCAGTGAATTAGTAATGTCCTCCCCCGTGTGTCAGGTCAGTACGTGTGTGTGAGTAGTGTCCTCTGTGTGTCAGGTCAGTACGTGTGTGAGAAGTGTCCTTTGTGTGTCAGGTCAGTGTGTTAGTAGTGTCCACTGTGTGTCAGGTCAGTGTGTTAGTAGTGTTATTTGTGTGTCAGGTCAGTGTGTTAGTAGTGTTCTCTGTGTGTCAGGTCAGTGTGTTAGTTGTGTCCTCTGTGTGTCAGATCAGTGTGTTAGTAGTGTTCTCTGTGTGTCAGATCAGTGTGTGAGTAGTGTCCTATGTGTGTCAGGTAAGTGTGTGAGTAGTGTTCTCTGTGTTTGAGATATGTCTTTGATTAGTGTCCTCTGTGTGTCAGGTCAGTATGTAAGAAGTGTCCTCTGTGTGTCAGATCAGTGTGTGAGTAGTGTCCTCTGTGTGCCAGGTCAGTGTGTGAGTAGTGTCCTCTGTGTTTGAAATATGTCTTTGATTAGTATCCTCTGTGTGTCAGGTCAGTGTGTAAGAAGTGTCCTCTGTGTGTCAGATCAGTGTGTGAGTAGTGTCCTCTGTGTTTTAGACATGTCTTTGATTAGTGTCCTCTGTGTGTCAGATCAGTGTGTGAGAAGTGTCCTCTGTGTGTCAGATCAGTGTGTGAGTAGTGTTCTTTGTGTTTGAAATATGTCTGTGATTAGTGTCCTCTGTGTGTAAGGTCAGGTTTGTGTGTGAGTAGTGTGCTGTGTGAGTCAGGTAAATGTGTGGGCAGTGTCCTTTGTGAGTCAGGTCAGTGTGTGTGTGAAAAGTGCCCTCTGTGTGTCAGGTCAGTGTGTTAGTAGTGTCCTCTGTGTGTCAGGTCAGTGTGTTAGTAGTGTTCTCTGTGTGTCAGGTCAGTGTGTTAGTAGTGTTCTCTGTGTGTCAGGTCAGTGTGTTAGTAGTGTCCTCTGTTCGTCAGGGCCTTTGTGAGTCAGGTTAGTGTGTGGGTAGTGTGCTGTTTGAGTCAGGTTAGTGTGTGGGTAGTGTGCTGTGTAAGCCAGGTCAATTATATATAATTATTTTATTTTATTGTCCATTTGTCATCGGCTCTTGTTTAAAATCTGGTAATTTTGAGTAAAATCTCCAAATTATTTACTAATTTGCACATATTCATTTACGACCTTCACCCTTGCCAAACATAATTACCTAATTATAATACCAAGTTGCAACCATAAAGCCGCGGCTAACAGATGTATGCCCGATTTTTTAAATGCCTTGCAGTTCTTGTGATAACTCTGAAGATGTCCTAGAGTTCACGCAAAGTACTGTTAATAATTTCATCAGTTTTGTGTTTTGTCAGAGCAACTTTTGGCAATTCTTTATCAGAGTTAGTGAGTCTTGACTACAGTAAATATAAGATAGATTAGATTTGGCTTTGATGTACAATACAAAAGAGCCGGAAACAGTGCGGCAACTAGAGGAGGGATTATTTGTATATCTTTAAAGCAGATAAAATGTTTGATGAAATTCCACCAATCCTTTGTATAAGTAGAAAAGTAATAAATTAAATTATAATATTTTCGCCCGTTCATTTACCGTCTCGTTTTGTTAGCCATAAATATGCACAATTATGAGTGATTCGTTATTTTCATAATTCTACAACCCATGATATGAACGGCGACAATTGGTGTATATCAAATAAAACATTTTACTGAAATCTTCTTTCCAGATAGAATACTTTCAGTGACAGAATATTCAACGTATAATTGTTTTGGTAATACTGCCGTTTTTATGCCCCCATAAAGTGGGGGGCATTACACTTGTCCGTACGTCTGTCCGTACGTATGCCCGTACGTCCCGAAATCTTGTGAACACAACTCCTCTTAAACCGGATGGCAGATTTTGCTTAAACTCCCAGGGATGAACAACCTTAATGTGTAGATGGCTGTGTAGATCGTAATTTTCGCTGCGACCTAATTTAACAGAATTATGGCCCTTTGTTGATTTTTTCACTATATACTATGTAGAAATTTTGTGAACGCAACTCCTCTTAAACCTGATGGCAGATTTTGCTTAAACTTCCAGGGATGAACATTCTTAATATGTAGATGGTAGTAAAGGAAGGAATATTTGCTGCGACCAAATTTAACAGAATTATGGCCCTTTGTTATTTTTTTCACTATATACCATATATATGTTGTCGGTCGGGGCATCCGTGTCCTTTGGACACAGTTCTTGTTTCTTTCAACATTATTTTAGATATTTACTTATATGCAGTTAACCTAAAATGTGTACCAGCACTAGCCTGTTCCCGCAAGTAAGACTCGCGCACACGACCTCACGATCTGTTCAAGGCCTTACGTACTTTCTAACTAAGCTTCACTGAAATATATATTTTAAGGATCGTAAAAATCTTTCGATGAATTGCTTACAAGTATTTATTCATAGAAGCAATTTGAAAACATTTTTTTTTATTATATTAAACAAGAGCTGTCACGCAAAGGTGACGATTGTCTCTTAAAAGGTATTGCAGAAAGGTATTTTGAAAAGAAAAAAAAGAATAAAAGAAACTACATTGTACTTGCTCAGTATTGTTCTTGTTACTTAAAGCCTTGACCGTGGAGGTAGAGACATTTACCTTTAACATCTAAGTGTGACCTTGAAATGTTAGGTAGTAACATTGGCCTGAATTGAGACACATTGTCTGGACGTGTAGACATTTTACGCTAAGTCATTTTAAAATCCTTCAATGCATGGCAAAGTTACAGCCCAGACACAAAGGCACATCACTTAAACAACATTCGTGTCCGGACTCCAACTTTGTCATGCATTGAAGGATTTTTAAATAACTTGACACAAAAACCTCGTCGGAACAAAGTGTCACATCTAAAGCCAATGTCCCTAACTAAAAGGTCAAGGTCATACTGAGAGGTTGAAGGTACTTACACAACATTCGTATCCGGACTTTAACTTTGTCAGACATTAAAGGATTTTAAAATCACTTGGCGCTAATGTCTACACCATCATGATGTGCCGCATCACCCATATCCCTACTGTAAAGGTCAAGGTCACACAGTTTGAAGGATCGCATTCTCACAATTAGAGTTGAAAGATACTCACATTTAATGTCGGACTGTTACAATGACATAGACAGATTTTAAAATCACCTAGCACATATGTCTACCACATAAAGACGACGTGTTGCATCTAAGGCTCATGTCCCTACCTCCAATTTCAAGGTCACACTTTAAGGTACTCATTATTACAATAAGAGTTTGAAGGTACACCTTCGGGGACGGGCTGTTACTTTGGCATTCATTGAAAGATTTTAAAATAACTTGGCACGAATGTCTACCACATCAAGACGACGCATAGCGTCTAAGATTTATGCCACTTCCTATAATGTCAAAGTAACACTTAGAGGTTGAAAGTACATATTTGTGTCCGGACTGTAAATTTGTCATGCATTGAAGGATTTTAAAATAGCTTGTCATAAAAGTGTACCACATCAAGACCAGAGCTGCATTACTGGTACTGGTACTGTAGTACAAACTGCAGCAATTTTGCAAGTACTGGTACTGATACTGAATTACTCTTACAAAATGTTGCTCCTGCCATTACTGTCTTAAAAAGGCAGTACTTTGGTTTTGATAAAAATGGCATCATTTTTTTCACATAAAGTACAGCTGTAAATTCGTACTATAAATAAATAAATAATTCTTAGTTTCTAAGTTTATAAACAAGTTTGTTCACCTCTGCATATAAATACATGTATATATAAACAATTAAAACAAGCAAATCGATGTGCATTTATTACAATCATTTCATAAAGTAGACTGAAATTTTGATTTATTCCAAATGTTTTCTTTCTGCATAATAAAATGAATCTTTGATCAAATGGGAACTTGTCAATGGAATGATGCTGTTAGAAGCTTTGACAATTTTGAACAATGAAAAAAAAGTGTTGGTGAAATGTTTCTGCCTTCAATTTCAACGAACAATCAATATCTTTCTGACGCTTAATACATACACTATTTTTAAAATATTCCTGTTCAATATTCAATTCTTATATGTCTTTTTATGTTTCTAATACAGAACATGCATACAGACAGTGTTCAGAAAATGGCACGTGGTTTAACAATGGGTCTGCCGGAATAAGAAGTGTATATGGCGAGTGTCTTTTAAAAGATGATGACGTAAGTACGCGTTGCTTGTGACAATGTCTAATGCTTCAATTACAAATGGAAAGGTAAAATGGCAATACGCATACATGTTTAAAGAAGGATTTAAAAATATTTGTTATGCTGAAAATATGGCACTGCTTAGTTATATTATTGCAACAATACAACTTTGGTACGATAGCCTAACTGTTCAAAATAGCAGATAAAGGTTTTTGAATATTTACTTATATTTTCATTGTTTAAATCCTATACTCAACACAATACATAGCGTAAAATGGACAGTGTGCGGGTATTAATTAGTCAACATGCACCCCAGTATTCGCACTGCCCGTACAGAGTGATATGAAAAAGTTTAAAAAGGGAATTGAATTCATTTAGTTTGAGATTCTAAAAATAATTTACCACACACATTTTCTAGTTCATTACCTACTGGTCACTTTCGTGTTTAAATTGAGTATTTTACAGTTTTTAATTGACAATGTGATCCACGGCAAAAAGCGATCTAGCGAAGCCTTTTAATATGGTGGCTAATTTGGTACGCTTTTGTGCGTCGCGTTTGCGCTAGCGACAACATGACAATGCGCCAAACGGCGCGTTGTCGCGCTGTCGTCTTGTCTTCCTGTCTCTAGCGCGGAACGCCAAACGGCGCATTGTCGTGCGGCGTGTTGTCGCGATGTCACATTGTCCACAACGTACAATCAAATGGGCAGACAGCAGTTCAAACGTCGACAGCTGTACCAGTATATATGTCGGCGCACGAAACACATTAAAGACGGTAAGTATTCATCTATTTTGAACATATCTCAACTGTGTTCGAGTAAATCAATGTTATGGATTCATAGTCAACATCCAAAGGAGCATACTAACAAATTTCTGGCCCTGTGCAAGCTTTACTTCACGTGAATTTTGACTGAAAATAACCACACTATCCGATGAGATGCGGCATTTTTATTTTTAAGTCACAAAAACTTATATTTTCTCATGATAATAAATCCTTTTATCATACGATTCGTAAACGTCAACATTTCGTCATTAAATATTCCAAACCATACCTTCAAAAATGCTTTTCTGTTAAAGTTATAGGGTATTTAAGTTTGAGTGTCATCAAAATTTTAGTAACGTCATCAGCCGTTCGCCTCTTTTTAATGATAACATCGACAGCCATTCATCGGCAAGAATGAATAACGCTGAAAGCCGTTCAAGGAAACAATTTTCAGAGCTTTTGTGCTACAGTAACTAGGAAATAGTTAAACTTTTTGTTCATTTAAAATATTACTTTATTTATGATACTTTCTAGACGCACAAAAACGTACCAAATCAGCACAATAATATGTTGCTTTGTTGAAATATTAAGAAACCGAACTGTCACTATTATATCTTTTTTGAAAGGGAAAAACATACTTTCTATAGTAAGTGTTTGAAATTATTTTTTGTCCAATAGGATTGCAGTATTTCAAATGAATGGTAACACATTTACTTTGGTAAATCGGCAAATGATAATCAGTCTAGTAGGTCGACTGTTAAAATAATCCAAAACACTAAGCATTGGTACTTATTTACAAAATTAAATTGTAAACACGTACTAATTACAACAAGTATGAAAATAACAGTTACTTATGTGAAAGTTTAGAATTTCGAAAAAGACGTGCTTTTATTAAATGTTGAAATTGTAAAAAGGGAGAAAATAATTTAGAAACATCGCTATCATTCAGTATATCTTATAAAGCTTATCAAAAAAAAAAAAAAAATGAAAATGATCTATCTATTATCTATTCAAGTTATGGTATTATGCTCAAAATTTATTTATGTTATATGAAAAAATCATATGAATAAATTATGAATAATGTAGTATATAACTGTCACAATAAAAAATATGCGTTAGTCAATTAAATACTGTAAGCTAAGTCAAAACTGTTGAAATAATAACTTTTTTTGATACCGAAGTTCCGACATTCTTTTATTCAACTCTGAAGAGCACCAGATATTCATAACAAATAATAGACAGTTGTACAAAATAAGAGAATTAACAATTTTCTAAGTTGTCACTAGTTTTCACGACTGTCAGGATTTGGAGCCAAAATAAAAAGTGAAGACAGCCTGGCATGGCTACTTATAAAGACTCTGAAATTGCTAGGACTGTAAAAATTGACCAATCATAATATCCCAGTTGTCCTGGCAGACTGGCAGGAAAGACAGGAATTTCTTAAAATGGCAGCCATCTTGACAGGAATAATTTTGAAAAATGTAAATTTACATGGTAAACAAATAACAAAATATGTAATGAACACTTAAATTACATGCTTCACTCAATGTACTAAAAATCTGGACCAAAAATAATAATGGTTCAAGCTTAGGAAAGTGAACTGTTGATATAAAAAGACTCTAGTGCCAGAAATTTGAATTTTCCCTCCTGACAAACTTAGACGTCATACTGGTCATCAGATTATTATGAAATACAGTAATGCCAGCTAAATATTTGGAAATTAACTTAAGTCTTAGGTAAATAAAGATAACATTCTTTGTTCATACATGTAAAATGGTAAGTATTTGTATATGTTTATAGAAATATAAGTTTTGAATTAAGGTAGACAACTTTTTTCGGTCATTTAAATGCCAGGATAAACAAAGTAAGTAAATTAATCATTTCTTAAAGTGTAAACCTCCTTATAGTGTCCTATATAGTCCTACAATCTCAAAATGTCCTATAATATGGTATTAATACCTTCATTTAACAGAAACTTATTATAAATACTTGAAATCAACAAAAACAGTCGGGAATCCTGACAGGTAAGTGTAAAGTATTTTCTTGAATATTTTTGTATCTCATTTGAAAATAAATGTCCTAGCTCAGGTTTCTTTATACTCAAAACCTAGAATTTGTTTAAAACTGATACTTAAGCTAACAAATTCTAAGTAAATTATTTGAATATGTCACTGTCTCTTACAATACTTTATCACTGACATAAAAAATGTATTTGTAAGATTTAAATAAGTTAATAACATTTCTAGATACAGTAAATGACTACTAAAATAGAACAGTCTATTTATGCCGATATGTATTGAAAAAGAATTTGATGAGTTTGTTATAAGTTTCAAGTATATATACTTGAAAAACGATTTTATAATTTGTAAGCCCTTCGGGCAAAATGTTTCTAACTTATGTATCCAATATGTCTCTTTCAAAAGTCTCCCCATATTATCATGAACTTTATCAATCGGCATGAAGGAAAAGTCATCAAGTGAATGATCTACGGAATCGAAATGAATTGCAACATTAGAAGAAAAATTGGGATGACATGTACTTCTTATATCAAATTTATGGCTGTTCATTTGATTACTGTTAATGGGTCAAGCCGGCATACTGTATTTTACATTTTTTACAAGTAATTAAATAAATCACGTCAACAGAAGTACAATTTCCATCAAAATGCATTTTGAATGTTTCTCCAGTATTTGTACTTGTGAATTTACTATTTTCTTCAATATTTTAACAGTGAGTACATCTTTTTCTATTACACTTATTAGTTTTACCGTTCATATTCCGTTCAATAAGAGTTGAATGGGCGAGGGAATCTTGAAGATTTTTGGGACGGGTTTATGATTGGTTTATGATTATGTAAATTTTTTACACTGTCATTTTCTGACAACATTAAAAGATCCCAGTATTTATTTATTATAATAAATAAATGGGGCTGAGACGGATTATATAGGATAACAAATGGTATGATATTTTGCTGCTCTGTGATATTTTCGTTATTTTCAGAAGCTTCTTCTTGGGTTGAATTATTTTTTTGCAAAAGCAGATTTTAGCTTGCAATCAGGATAATTTCTGTTCTTGAAAAAGGATTCTAAATTTATAAGAGATTCATGAAATATATCATAGTCTGAAATGATACGTCTGTAACGTTTATCTTGGCTGTATGGTATACCCTCTTTACATTTATTAGGGTGGAATGAGTTATACTCCAGATATTGATGGACATCTTTAGATTTTATATGAATTTCCGTTAATAATGTACAATTTACATTTTTAAAAATCTTAACATCAAGAAATGGCACATTTTGTTTCGATATATTATATGTAAATTTAATTGTAGGATGACATGTATTTAATTTGATTATGAAATCATGTAAGGCACTTATAGAATGATCCCATATCATAAATATATCATCTTGGCTCCGCTTTCTAGAAGCTAATAAAGCGAAACATGTTTTGATATTTAAATTTGTATTGGTTTTTGATCTAATTGACCTAAATACGTACTAATAAACTTTAACCTTTAACCGATAACTTTTAGTAATTTCTAGTTACCATAGGAATATGCGTGTATTTATCAAGCCTTGCAATAAATAAACGTTATTTACTAGTTTACATCAATTTTGGAAGAGATTACGTTTATATAAGTACACGTACCGGGATACAAACTAATTTAGAAAAACGCTTGTTTTCAATTTCAGATTGCTGACGATACTAAATATATTTACATTTTTATTGGCGGATTTTCCTTATCGCTAGTCATGCTGATAATATCGTTAGGAATATTCTTCAGATTTAAGTAAGTATTTTTTCTCTTTCTCGGTAATTTTCAAATGCTTAATAGATATACCTTTTGAATGTAATATATAACGAGACTATTTGGAAAGGACAAATACTTTTATGATGCACTTTACTTATCTGTCTAACGTATCTAAATTTGTTCAGGTTTCCTCTTCTTCTCATATTGTTATAGTTATATTGATGGCCATCCCGTTGTCGTACGCAATCTCTTACCTTGATCATAACTTTTAAGGTTCTTGGTGTGTGGCCACAACCTTTTGGACAAAATCTTTATGTAGACCAGTTCATTCATAAATGACCTTGACCTACAAGGTCAAATGTCAAAATTTTGATTGATTTTTGCTGAGTTTTGCTATTAGAGGGTATAACTTTGTTATTTCTGAATGGATTGTCTTCAAACTTAAACAAACATTTTTAGGAAAGACCTTTAAGACAAACCTTGACCTTCACTCATAAATGACATTGAGTGTCAAATCATTGATTTTTTTCCGGCTGTGGCAGGCTAAAACTTTGTTAATAATGAAACAATTGACTTCATATTAAGATGCAACATTTTTAGGATAAGACATTCATGTATATCAACCACAAATTGACTTTGGCTAATTTATGACATTGACCTTGAAGGTTAATTTGAATTTTCACTGATTTTTGCTAAATTGATTGACTGTAACTTGGTAATTAATCAATAGATTATCTTTATACTAGGACAAAACAACTTTTTGGACAAGACCTTCTAAAAGTTACCATGACCTTGAGTTTTAAATGATCTTGACCGTCAAAGTCAGATTATTGATTTTTGGTTAAACTGATATACTTTTGTACGAAATTACGCTGGGACAAAACAAGACTTGCTGCCAAACTAACATATTGACTAATCTAAATGTGGCCTTGACCTTCAAGATCAGATGATAGAATTTTGATTTTGGTTTCATAATTTTATCATTTAAACCGTGTAATCATTTGTTTGCTTTTAGGAAACAGTAGAAACAGTCGAACGGTACCACGCCCGGCTGTGGCTCTTGTTTAAATTTGCGTTATAAACTGTAATTGGCGAATGGTTGAAAACTGTACTTATTTTCTTTCAAATTCTTTTACTTTTCAACAGAGATTTGACATAAAGTATTTCATAATTCATTATATACGGCCTCCGTGGTCGAGGGGTTAGAGTCGGTGACTTCTTATTCAGTTACCTCTCTGGCGTGGGTTTGATCCCCGGAATTGCTTTGGTAGTTTAGCGCTGAGGAAGGTAGTCTAGTACTGGTGTAACTCTCCAGGAACGATGGTTAGGAAACTACCCGCCTATATGACTGAAATACTGTTGGGAAAAGGCGTAAAATGAAACAAACAAACAAACAATATACGGATATTTTAAGTTGCTATAATTAAAAGTTACGACATCATGTTATATTTAAAATGGTTGGGGCGACTTGCTTTCATTGATATACACAACATGCACATGCATTATTCTTTAATCTTAGGTATTTTTATGATTTCTATAACATACAAACAAATGTTTTACCGATTACTGTGTTCCACTTTTATTTTGATAATTTGATATGATAAAATAACAGAAGATAATGGAAACAAAATAAGTTATGCGCGTTTTCATCGACTGAAATACGATATCCACCATCTAATTGCCTCTAGCTCGCGAAATAAATAAGGATGCTTCTGCTTGATATTTTCGTCTAAATTAAATCTAATTTAATTGAGATTCTTTATTGCAGGCCTCTCTAATAAACATCTATCTATGTCTCTTACAACTTATATCATCTTGTGAAGAATTTTTGTGAAGTGTTAATTCCAAGGTTCATCTCGTTCAGAATCGAAAGTTTCAACGCATTGTCCTCTTGCATGAATTTATAACAATATGAACACCATCGTTTTTCTTCATTTGTCTAGATTGGGTCCCGGTAAATTAGCTGTCCGCTATACTCATGCAAGGATCTTATGAAAGTTACCACTGTTTCACCTGACATTTGGTTTCTCTTATGGAATTAAGCTCGTTCGTGAATCATATTGTTCTTTGGATTAAAATGTTCGTCGAATTTATTTATAGTTTCATATTTCTTCGCGTTACTTTCTGACATTTTTTTTCAGAAAGATTTTAACAAATTGTCAGCTTCCTTTCCCATGGTATACTCCAGTGTAGCGAGTTGTATTTCTTCATATTCTTTATGAAGTTTTGAAGCTGTTCTGTATTCCAATAACTCCATTTATTTGGAGTTGAAAAGTCAAAGTTTTTAGGAGCTTGCCATTTCTCTATAATATCTTCTAAATTTCAATGCTTAAGTTCCTTATAATTTTATTTATTTGAAGTCCAGCTTGTAATTATACAATTTAATGTAAATCCAATCAACAGTGTTTAATTAATTTACAATTGAATGTAAGTACATTTTTTGTTTACAATTTAATGTTTTACTTCTTTAACTCCTGACCCCATGTACTATTGTACTTGTGCTCCATTGACTTACTTCTGACACCATGTGCCATTATCTGAATGACCGATGGTCAGTTATCACCGTAACACCAATAAATTTTCATAAGTTTTATTCTAGCTACGAAAGCATAATTATGTTGACATCATTACATTACATTGACAAGCATTCTATCAAACTCCTCTCAGACAGACAAGTCTACACTGAGTTTAACACACGTGACTAGAGACCATATCATAATACACAACACATAGTATGTGCGTCAGTCCGTCTATCACTGCGTCCTTCCGGATTTGTCCGGTCTATATCTTCCTAATAAAATAATTAGATATAAATGTTCACCATGATAGGGTGGTGTGTCGCACACAAAACCCAGGTCCGCCGCCCAAAGGCCAAGGCCCTACACATTTCTAAAGCATGGAGGGATTTTAATATAAATCGGGACAAATATAGTGAGTTGCGTTGTCTCACGCAAAATGAAGGTTAAGGTCACAAAAGGACAAAGATGGAATAAAAATATGAAAATATTTTTGTTGGCCCTGTATCTCGCTTACGCTTTGAAGTATTATGCTTTATCAGAAGATTTTAAAATTGCTGAGCCCGCTTGTGGTGGGGTCCACTTAATGTATGTTCGTCCGTCAGTCCGTATGTCCATCCAGATTTGTCCAGTCTATATTTTGCTCATTCTGTACACGTGTCACATATTCGGTTTGAATTTGTCACACGTGTTACATATTCGGTCTAATAAGATAAGATCAGATAAGAAATTGGTTTATTAAAGTCACATTGTACATTTCAAGTTATTTTCAACAATTTAGAGGTACCTAGCTCAGTGGGCCTATAAGTGACTTTAACGTTAATTCAAAATATATTAGACATTGGTAAATTGATACATATGTATAACGAGTAATGTTAACAACAAAATAGAGGATTTACGTATACAGTTCAATCAGTATGTTATGAGTGGCAGCTGAAAACATTATAATGATTTACCAATACATTAAAAAATGTCTCAAGAATAAAGAATATCTCTTCTGCGGAGGTATGCTTGTAGAATAAACTTTGAACATTTTCTAGCGTGGTCATTAATAATGACGTTAAGTTTTTGCTCATCAGATAGTACGTTATAGGTATCATGTGTGATTATGTTAGTTAAAAGAGTTTGTTTGATGTCATCATATTGCAATATAATATAAAATTCCTCTCATCTTCAACAACATTGGTTTGACATAATTTACATATCCTTTGTTCAACTGGTTCACCTATATAACGTCCCGTTTCAACTCTAAGAGGGAGAATGCCAGTTCTTAGTTGCGATAACATCGACCGTTCAAATTTCTTCAGGTTTAGATTTAAATAATCTTCACACCCAAAATTAAGTTTTATCTGTCTGTATGTCCGTAGCTTTGATACATTTTGGATTTCATTTTGCCACTTTGTACTGTACATATTTACCGTCAATTCTGTTACAACTTTCAAATCAATGGCACGTTTTGATTAGACCTAACTGATCACATATAAACTCTACGCCTGACCAGTTGTTATTCTTTAGGTTGAAGTCATGAATAAACACTTTTTTGTTAACCTGGAATCACTCATACTGATAAGTCAATTCCAGTAACGGATTATACATATCCACCGGTGATAATGGTGCCCTCACACATAAACCACGACCTTACTGCGACCTGAAAACTATTAAAATAGCATTTTTCTTTCGAAAATCGTTGGTTTTCTTTCAAATTTCTCTCGCAGACGGTCCGGGGCTCTGCAGTCTTGTGTTCAGTACGTTTTCTCTATGTCCTCAATACTAACCTTCTACGTCCATGGCGTTTCCACTGCGACTGTATTGCGTCCCCAAGGCGACCCCACGGCGATCATCGGCGACCCAGTTGCGACTGTGCTATGTTCTCTGCGTCCTTACGGCGACTCTACGACGACTATTGCGTTTGTCCGGCGACTGTCCTGCGACTGTACGACGACCATACTACGTTCTTGCTACGTCTATAAAAACAATACTTTTTACCAGTAAATTTCATTCTAAGTCTGACCTTACGGCGTCCTTAGTACGAGTGTACTACGTCTATTGCGTTCTTATTGCGTCCTTACTACGATGCTGCTGCGACTATGGCGACTTCACTGCGATCCCAAGGCGACATAACCAGGACTCAGCAAGAACGCAGAGTTTCTGCGACTGTTTTGTGCATGTTCAAAATAGCCGCCGACGGTCTGCGACCTTGTGCGTCCTTGGGTTCCTCGCTACGACCTCACTGCGTCCCTGCTGCGTCCATGGTGACTGTGCTGCGTCCTGGGTCGTAGCAAGGTCGCATGAGGACGCAGTAAGGTCGCGAGGTATGTGTGAGGGCAGTATAACTAGTTCTAACTACCCAGTATACTCGTATAAGGCAAGTATCGGTGTGAAGCGGTGAACTCTTAATAAAGCAAAACTTCAGCCGAAAATGGAACATAAAATGTGTCATATTCGGTTAGATTGAGTTTTTCTATGGTCACAAAAACTTATTTGTCACGTACCAAAAATGCGCATAAAAATGGAAATTCCACC